CACACACACACACACACACACACACACACACACACACACACACTACACACACAAACATTCATTGAATTTTCATATTCAGAGGAAGAATGAGGAACCACAAGTGACTGCAATTGATGTATGCAAGCATCTAAGGAGGAGGAAGTATTCACCCTAGGGAACAGCCACTGTCAGCCTCACAGGTCACAGAACTCTGTTGTGGAGAAGAGGTTATTCACATGAGAACATGTGACCAACTATGAGTACCTTCCCATTCCTTACAAGCATCTTGTGTGAGAAACATGTAGAGTATAGGAATCTGTGGTGGGTTATTTAATGAGAAATGTCCCCACAGGCTCATGTGTTTAAAAACTTGGTCTCCAGGTTTTTGGTGGTGCTGTTTGGAGAGGTCATGGAGCCTTTAGGAGGTGCAGCCTTGCTGGAGGAAGTACATCACTGAGGGCATGCTTGGAGGTTTTATAGCCTCGCTCCACTTGCTGTTCACTCTCTTTTCAGTGTTCAGATAAAATGTGACTAGCTAGCTTCTTGCTCCTTTGGCCTGCTGCCAGGCCTTCCCTTCTCTGGAACGATAAACCAAAATAAACCATGTCTTCCTTAAGTTGCTTTTGGTGTTTACACAGCAACAGAAAGTAAATGAGAGCATGCAACTTTTATCCAATTTGTTTTCCCATTTATTGGGTGCCCTTATGGCAGGCATGTGACAGATCTGGGGGGGAAGAAACAGAGAAGCAAAAAAAAAGCAATTGAGAGCTCTTATTTGGGGTGTATACCAGTTGCAGACATAGGTCTTACTATCTCAAAGACCTTAAAGTTTGCAATATCAAATACTGGAATAGCTTATGTGAGGTTATTACTAACACACAGCTTTTCTTTTCTTTTTTATTTTCTGTTTTTGGGTAATTTGCTTATGTATGTCTGCGCACTACATGTATGCAGTACCCATGGAGGCCGGAAGAGGGTGTCGGATTCCTAGAACTGGAGTTACAGGTGGTTGTGAGGTGTCATGTGGGTGCTGGGAATGGAACTGAGGTCCCTTGAAAGAGCAGTCAGTTCCCTTAACTGCTTAGCCCTTAACTCCAGCCCCTGGTATTCTAACCTTTGGGTAGAAGGATATTTGAGACAGAGGTCAGGGGTGATGCTGCTTCTCCACACTCTGTGTACACTTGAACAGGTCAATTACTTAAAATGTTAGGGCCAGTTATACTACACATCTTTATTCAAAGCAGTTCTGAATCACTGCTCCAGAATTTTGTTTGGGACCACATGGACTTATTACTTGTGTTTAGAAGGTAAATACTTCAAACTTGTACACCATGAGAATGGAGGGACCCCAGATCCCTGAGGCAGAGGGCCATCTTTGTTGGGAATGGCATGCCAAGAGGAGGGAACCTGTAGTGCTGCACACCAAGGCCAGGCCCTGTCTTCACTGTGGTGCCCTACCTTGATGAAAGAGTACAAAGACTTCCCGTAGAGCCTCTTGAAGTTTGCCCGGATGTCCAGCATGTCAATCTCTGCTCGGGACACCATCACTCTGATGAGGGTGTCGTCATCAGTGCCTAGGCCCTGAGGGAGGCAGCAAGATCTTGTATCAGATGATGCTCTTCATGGTCCAGCAAGACAAAGACAAGGCAATAGTGACTCTGCCACAGTGCTCTTTGTTGTATGACCCGGGAGGCCCAAGGAACATCCTCATGCCTTAACTTGGGATACATGGCCCGGCACAACACACCTTTAGAACACTGTCTCTTGACCAGAAGACACTGCTGGGCCTTTCTAAAGACATGCTCTGTGCTGCTCAGCCACCTGCATCATCTACTAACCCTTCCCCACCCTGTGTAAAGCTTCCCTTAAGGTTCTGCTTGAACAGAACCTTTTCTGTTTTGCTTTTTCCCCCTCCCTTCCTCTATTCCTTCCTCCCTCCCTTTCTTTCTCTCTCTCTCTGTATAGCCCAAACTGGTCTCAAACTAAGCAGTCCTCCCTTTCCAGCCTCCCAAGAGCTGGAATTTCAGGTGTGTGCCAGCATACCCGGGTCCAATTTCTGTATATATTCTTTTCAAATCTTCACTCAAGAATACTGAAAAACTACACTCTCTCCTTGGTGTTCCTATAGTAGTGGGATGCTGAGCTGCCATCTTTCATTCTGTCTTATTGTTGGTTTTTTCTGCATGCTGGCTTTTTCTTTGAGGACAGATATTCTTCAAAAGCAAAGACTCTCCACCAGGTATGGCACAGGCTGTGATCCCAGAATTTGGAAGGCTGAGGCAAGATGATCAAGAGTTCAAGGCCATCCTCAGCTACATAGAGAATCCCAGGCCAGCTTGGGCTACTTGAGAATTTGTCTCAGAAGAACAGCAACAAAATCCCAGCACTTAGGTTCCTGGTTTCCTGTCCCCCTGGGGGTTCCTGGCAGAGCTGCCTGCACAGAGTCTAGCACAGACCTGGGAACCTAGCTCTGAAGCTAGAGTTTGTCTCCTTGGGGCACTCCTACTTCCATAAACGGTGTAAACAAACTGTATGCCTCAGTTTCTCCACTTGTAAAACAGGGCGGTTTGTGCCCCTGTGTCTGTTGTGGGGATGAATTAATCCAACATGTAAAGCCCTGGGAGCAAGGCTCCACACATCACAAGTACACAGAGAACAGCACTCCGCATAAACGACAGCAGTATTCGGTGAGGGATACAACATGGAGTCGAGTTGGATATCCCAGGGTGGAATCCAGGTGGCAAACCTAAGAAGGTGGATAAGGAAAAACCACACCACAATCTCTCAAGCAATAAAAACAAAGGCATTTACCTTCATGGACTTATAAAGCCTTTCAGCAAAATATGCAGGCTTGTTCCTCATGCACCTCACTGTGGAGAAGATGAGCAAAAGAATGAGCACAGGCCACTCCCCTGCCTGCTAGCACACTCCCATTCCCAGGAGCACTTCCTTTCTCTTAATAAGTCATCTCTATTTCCATAAAAAGAAAGAGAAGAGTGAGAAGATTACAGAAAAAAAATCCAAGAACAAAGAAAGCTGACAGTTATTCTCTGTTTCTACAAAGTCCCCCAAACTATTTCCTGATTGCTTTGCTTTAAGGCAAGAGGCCCTTCCTGAACATAGTCTGCACCCAGGCCGTCTCCCAGATGGCCAGGATCCTCAGCTTATCAAGTTCCTGGAGAAGTCATTAATAATGGCCATCAAAACAAGGGTGACTCATAGCTCCAAAATGATTACTACATCTGCCATATAAAATAGTTACTAGGGGGCCGGAGAGATGGCTCAGGGGTTAAGAGTACTTGTTCTTGCAGAGGACTGGGGTTCAATTCCCAGCACTCACATGATTGCTTACAACCGCCTGTAAGTCAAGTTTCAAAGGATTTGATGCCCTCTTCTGACCTCTGATGGTACAAGGCATGCCTATGGTACACACACATATATGCAGGCAAAACACCCACGAAATAAAAAAAAAAACAACTTAAAAATCAGTTATTAAACCCAACCACCCATTAAGTTGCCAGATACAGAGAGCATGGCATTATCTTTCTCCTATAATAAGATAAAGAAAAAAAAAGTGCTAAGGGGGGAAAAAAGCCCCCCTGGCACAACAGCAGTCAGACCATACAAAATATTTCTTTTTGCTTTGCTTGTTCAGTAAGTTTCTCACATAGCCAAGGCTGGCCTTGAACTCACTGTGCAGCTGAGCATGATCTTGAACTACTGATCCTCAGGGCTGCCTCGACCTCCCAAGTGCTGGAATTACAGGTGTGCACAACATGTAGCTTTGCAAATCTTTCCTGTTTAAAGTTGTAGAATAGCCAGATGGGGTGGCTCATGTCTATGATCCTAGCACTCCTAGCCAAGATAGGAGGGATTGCTACAAAGTTCAAGGGCAGCTGGGCTATTGAATGAGACTATGTAGAAAAAGAAAAATCTGGAGCTAGAGAGATGGCTCAGTGGTTAAGAGCACTGGCTGTTCTTGCAGAGGACCCGAGTTTAGTTCTTACCACCCATGTGGTGGTTCTCAACACTCTGTAACTCTCGTTTCAGGGGATCCAACACCCTCTTCTGGGCTCCACAGGTATTGCATATATGTGATGCACAGACAAACATGCAGGCAAAATACTCATGCACAGAAAATCATTAAAAAAAACAAAATAAAAAAAACCCAACAGTTCTGGAAAATCATCTGTGTATGATGGCACGTGGCTGTGGGTCAGGTATTTGGGGACTGATGTGAGCAGGTCACATTAATCCAGGAGTTCCAGACCAGCCTGGCCAACTTACTGAGAATCCATTTTTTTTTCTCCTTTAAATTCTAGAATGTACCCTCAGTAATTGAAACAACTTTAATTTCAGAAAAATCACAGCTCTGTAACTCCATGACAACATCTGGATACTAAGAAGGAACAGCAGCAGAATTAACTCTGTGGGTCATCAGCTTACCTATAGCCAGCAGGGCGTCTTCAAAGCTACCAGACGTTTCGGATTTAATACTCTGCTCAATGTCCTTCTGAGAGATCCTTTTGTATTCATCAAACACTAAAACCAATAACAAGATAGTGCGATTTGGAAAACTGGGCTGGTGTGATGACTGGTCTGCTAAAGGCACTTACAGCCGAGCCTGATGACTGGAACCCACGTGTTGGAAGAAGAGAAATGACTTGGGCTAGTTGTCCTCTGATCTCCACATGTGATCTGTGACATTTGCATACCCATACGCCTGTACACATGCATGTGGGTACACACACATATAACATACATGCACACTCTCTAAAAGCAAGTGAACACATAAATAAATGTAATAAAAGCTTAAATACAGGAAACTAAAATTTATGGAGAGAACGAATACATTTTAACAAGCTTATGCTACTTAGTTTTTCGGCATATTTCAAGAGGAAACCAATTATTACTGTGGGTGAGGACCCAGGCAGGATGTGGCCTGGTGGACCAGGTCCATCAGGAGGAAGAGTGCTGAGATCTCTGGAGAATACCAGGCACTGAGGGAGTCTTTGGGTACATTTGCTTTCTTCTTGTTGAAGCACACAGGGTCTGGTAGCTCACACCTGCAATCCCAGTATTTGGCAGGTGAAGGCAAGATTGGCAGTTCCCCAGTCACATGAGATCAAGGCCAGCATTGACTACATGAAATGTCAGCCTTGGATGTCACCTATGTACTCTTCTTCCATTTGGCTCATTAAGATGAGAACAATTCAGCCTCCTCAAGACTGAGTCACATCTGGTAACAGTTGGTTGTATCTTTTAATAGATTTTTCACATAATTAATTTTTTCTTGCTTTTTGCCAAGGATTTTTTTTAATGTGATGAATGTTTCCCTCTCTTCTTCCAGAGACTTCTTAGGACAGATAACTGTTTTGTTTCTCTCCTTAGTGACCTTCACTGGCATACTGTCTGGTTCCCTCCATCCATGTAATCCTCACAGTTATCAGTCAAAGGGTACCAGCATCCAGCAAATCACATCATCACCTTGGCCTGGCAGTGTCCCTCAGAGTGACCTGCCCTCCAATGAAATGGTTTTCTTTTTAATTTTGCGTGGTCAGGCATGGTGGTGCACACCTTTGAAACAAGCACTTGGGAGACAGAGGCAGGAAGATCTCTGAATTTGAGCCCAGTCTGGACTACATAGTGAGTTTCAGGCCAGCCAAGGCTACACAGTGAGACCCTATCTCAAAATGAATTGTGTGGGGGTGTGGTATAGTATGTTTTAATGTGTGTGCATGCATGTGGAAGCCAGAAGTTGGTGTCAGGTGTCTTCTTATTTTTTATTTATTTTGATTAATCAATTTGAATATACTTACCACTGCTTAAGCCTGCACTCATGCATACAAAGGCCACAGAAGGATGCTGGTGTCTGCCTCTCTCACTCACTGTCTTACTGCTTAAGGACAGGGTCTCTCACTGAACTGGAAGCTAACCATTTCAGCTAGGCTGGCTGGCCAGTGAGCTCCTGGGATCCACCCGTCCCTGCCTTCCAATGCTGGGCTTACAGGTGCTTGCAGCAATACCTGGCTCCCCCCGCCCCAGGGAGTGTGGGATTTGGGCACAGGCCCTCACACCTGCCTAGCAAGCACTTCCCACTGAGCTATCTCCCTAGTCCACCACTGTATTTTTTTTTTGAGACAGTTCTCACTGGACTGGCCTGCCAGCAAGCCTTGGGGATCATCCTACTCCCATCTTTCCTGCCTAGAATTACTGGAGCATTCTGGAAGCAGCTTAAGCACCTTTATTTCTGTTCTCATGGTTTCAGATCTCCCTCCAATCTTGGGAGCCACTGGTACTTTCTATTTTCCTTTTTGTGGGTGTATATTTGTCAAGAATCAAAGGAGCTAATAAGACCCCCCACACACACACACCCAAAGTGGAATGAAAGCTTCAAGACAGAAAATTATTAACAAACTCTTCATTCTGGCCATTATAGCTGGTTGGTAACAAGATTATTCGGTCTACACTACGTAAAAAGTGCTTAAAACATTGTCTTGGTGACTTATCAACAGGTAATTTGTTTTGTTTTTTGAGACAGGGTTTCTCTATTTAACAGTTCTAGATGTCCTAGAACTAGCTCTGTAGACTAGGCTGGCCTCAAACTCACAGAGACCCACCTGCTTCTGCCTCCTGAGTTCTAGGATTAAAGGTGTGCACCACCACCTCCCAGTCTGAACAGGTAATTTTTAACTGCTCAACTACAGACTTGGAATTACAAATTCTTAGTAAGTAAATGCATCCCAGGACCTGCAGTTCTGGGAAAGCGCCACAAGGAGGAGCTCACATAGTAAACAGGCAAAGAGAGCCAATAAAAGAAAGCCCCAAGTTTCATGGTGGTATATGATTTATGGACAAGAATAATTGCTTATTATTATTATTATTATTATTATTGCCACTGAGGAATATCTAGAATAATTACAACTTGTAAATGTGTCAAACTTTGCAGTTATGTTGTGTTTTCAATTTAGCAAACCCATTCTCCTCAAATTCCCTACAAGCTCTGAAACTCCATGCCTCTGACAGGGAGATGGTGGTTTACAAAATTATGATGCCCATGAAGGTCTAAAGAGCTCATCTACAAGATGAACTGCCCTATTGAGTCCTTACTGCTGTTTATAAGAAGACTCAGCCTGACAACAATTTTCTATAATGGTTTAGTGTTCTTCCCCCACAACGAAGTTAAAAGCACATTGCAAAGTCTAGAAATTACCAGAAGCAAATTAGGGACATCACACAAAGGAAATAAAAAGTGAAATTACCCACGGCTCATCTTACTCCATGTAAACCCTGAAGAAATCTATCAGCGATGCTAAATAGAAATAAATATCAACTGACATTTGTTTAAATTGGTTCCTCAGGTAGTTTACTTTCTTGTGTAAGTAATGGGAAATGACTGTTTTGGGGCTGTGCTAGAGAAAGGACCAGCTAGGAAGGCTGGTTTTCTGGGATAAGGAATGCTAAATTATTATGAACATTTTGTATCTCTGTCAATTACTCAAACTAATCTTTCAAAATTGGCCTTCATTCATATATTTGATTCCCACTTTTACACCATTAAAATCTAATGGTTTAGTTCGTTTTCTATATCATGTTGGGGAAAGGTCATCGTGAACTGGGAAGCACTATGATCAAGACACATTATAAACACATTTGGCATTGTCAAAGAATAAATTATATATATATATATATAGACACAATATGAACACATTTGTGATTGTAAAAAAATAAAATATATATATATATATATATATATATATATATATATATATATATATATATATTTGGTTGTTGGAGACAGTTTTGGAGCCTGTCCTGGAACTCACTCTGTAGTCCAGGCTGGCCTTGAACTCACAGAGATCTGCCTGTCTCTGCCTCCCAAGTGCTGGGATTAAAGGTGTGTGCTACACTACCCGAAAGATATCTTTTTTTAAAAAAGGTTATCAGGGGCTGTAAAGATGGCTCAGTGGCTAAGAGCACTTGCTGCTTTTACAGAGGACCTGGGTTCAGGTCCCTTTACAGCACCCACTTGGTGGCTGACAATTGTCTATAACTCCAGTTCCAGGGCCTCTGGCACCCCCTTCTGATCTCCAAGGACACCAGATGCACAACTGGTTCATAGACATATATTCAGTCAAAACATTCATACACATAAAATAAATTAACCTTAAAAATTTTAAGGCTGTCAATCATTTTAGCAGAGTTGAGTGAGGTGGTGAGGTAAGTACTCACCATGCAGCAGATGGTTCCGATTCCGGGAACAGAGGATGCTTAGGAATTTCACCTCGTCTGTCCCCCATTTCTTCTCTCCAGCCTCATACAGGTCCTGGTACCAAACAAAGCATGAGTCTAAACACCAAAAAGGATGTGCCAGTACCTGGGCAAATAGGTCTAAAGTTTCTAAGAGTTGAGCTGGCTTGGTTTTATTTTGTTAGTTGGAAAGGTGAACATGCTGTACACACACACACACACACACACACACACACACTTGCGCACATACACACATGCAATCACACACTCAGTACTTTAACCTCATAATGGCACAAAACAACATGCACTCAGCAGAAATCAGGCTTTAAAGTTTGAATTTTGATCTTTTCTCGAGCCAGTCTATATAGTTTGAGACTTGCATAGCATGGGCCAAGCCCTATGCTCCATTCCCTGGCAACACACACACACACAGACAGAGAGAGAGAGAGAGAGAGAGAGAGAGAGGAATTCTCTGGGATCCTCATGTGGCCCCAGTGTGAAAAGGAGACCTAGAATCCAGGAGTGTCAATAGTGACTTGAGCTACCCCAAGTCCCTCATACCCCTGAAAGAGTCCTGTTGATCGAAGATTGTCTATGGGAGTCTTTTACATATCACACCTCAGCCTAATACACCCTAAAGTAGAAGAGGCTGCCTACCAACCAAATGAGGCCTGTCTTACAGAAGAAGCTGCAAGAAAGAATTTACAGTCCACTAACCTGGGCGTCCTGCTTCACGAGTGCATCATCCAGGTAATTCCCTTCATCCCTGCCACCCTGCGGGTGAAACAGAGGAGAGTAAGCGAGTACCCATGCACATCACCCAGGTAATTCCCTTCATCCCTGCCACCCTGGGTGCTCTTAAGACAGAAGGCCTGGAGACAAGATGCAGGTTAGAGAGTTAGGACTGCCGTCTTGTATCATCAGGGCCTGGACCTATGCCCTGGAGATGCTCCCAGTGGAGTGTGAACCCCATTGTGACCCTTGATTTTGCAAAGTTGTCTCTTCCATTAGAAGAACATTAACATCTTTCTCCCGGCTCCCAACCCCACCCCTGCACTGACACAGCTGATTCAGTCTTCTTAACTAGTCAGTCTTCATTGGTCAAGAGAATGCTAGACCTGAGGTAGAACTGTTGAAGCTGATGCAATGCCAGTGCCAAATACACCAGCTCCAGCATTGAGGGCCACAGGAACCCCTGAAGGGATACGAATGAGTGATAGACAGGCACTGCCTTCCAGTTTGGAAGACTGTTCTTTAAAAAAAAAAAAGATTTTTAAAAAAGTGCATGCATTGTGTGTGTTGTATATATGTGTGTGTCATATGTGTGCAGGTGCTTATTGAGGCCAGAAGAGGGCAGTCAGTCTCCTGGATCTGGAGTTACAGGTGGTTGTGAGCCATCCAATGTGTGTGGGGGGTTTATTTAACTCAGGTCCTCTGCAACCTCTCCAGTCCTGCCACTGTATAAACGTCTAAAACACAGAAAGTTATCTCTCCATATCCTTGTAATCCAATGCACTTTGTAATAGAGGTAGCTGGCACAAACACGGGACCCATGAACAGTGAATTAAAGTAGAAGAAATGGTTGGGCATGCATGACTAGCCAAGGTCTCTGAAGGAGAAATAAGATAAAGGGATAGAGCAGCCCGGGGATGACACCTGGGGAGTGCTCATGTTTAGGAGACTGAATGACTGAAGGGCGGGTAAAGGAGGGTGCATGTTTCAATCAACCCAGCATCCCCTATCAGAAGCCATCACCAAGGAAGTCACGCACCGCTGCCAGGGACACCAGTACTCGCTGGAACATGAAGGATGTGTCTGAGCAGATGTCCTCTTCAAGGCTCCTTCCATATTCTGCCAAGAAATTGAAAATGGGTACATCAGAACAGAGTCCTGCCTAGTGCTGTCACCCTCCAGCAAGCTCTGTCCCTCCAAGGCAGCATGTTCATGGGAGCAGGTCAAACCAAAGTGGTACCCCATGTGAGGTTTTCTAAATCTGAACTCTGTGTGGCCCCAGCCATCCCTACAGGTCTATAAGAAGGTAATGGTTGCTGGGCAAGGGGAGGCAATTCCTTCAGTGGTGTAACCATCAGTAAAGCAGCCATGATCCTGTAGGTAACTGCTCACCCATGCTGCTGTAGGTAACTGTTCACCATGTTCCTGTAGGTAACCCTTCCCCTATGTTCCTGTAAGCAATTCTAATGAAGCCCATTAGCTCATAAAAATGGCAACAACAAACAAAAAAAAACAAATGGTAAATATGACCTAGTAAATATGACCATGTATGTGCTATGGCTGTCTCTTTAAGATGGTGGGGATCAAGAAGACAGGGCTGGAGTCCTCTTTGGTTTCCTTCTGTCTGAGACTCTGCTCTGCACTTGTCTGAACGGAAGCTTGTTGTGGAATATTACTTTAACTAGGTAAAGATATGTTACATTTGTTTATGCTACACAGAGTATTACTTTAACTGTGTAAAGGTGTGTTACATTTGATTATGCGGCATTTGTTTAATTATGTAAAGATGTGTTGCATTTGTTTCACCTTGCCTGCCTAAGTCACCTGCTTGGTCTAACAAAAAGCTGAACAGCCAATAACTAAGCAGTAAAAGGATAGGTGGGACTGGTGGGCACAGAGAATTAGAAGAAGAGAATGAGGGAGAAAGAGAAGAAGATGCCTGGAGCCAGCCAGGCAGCCACCGGCCAGCAGCCACAGAGTAGGACATACAAAAAGAAAGGTAAAAAGCCCTGAGGTGAAACATAGATTAAGAGAAACAGGCTAATTTAAGTTAAAGGGGAAAAAAAGCTAGCCAGAGATGAGCCTAAGCTAGGCTGAGCATTCGTAACTAATAAGAAGTCTCTGTGTCATGATTTGGGAATTGGTTGGTGGCCTAAAAGAAAAAGCCTGCTACAGAAGCTGTTGAAGGTTACTAGTGTCACAGGACAGAGGTCCCCAGAGAGGTTCTAACAGATCTCTCTGATGAATGACACTCTCTATAGCTACAGAAGCCAATGTGGACACATGCCAGGGTTAGGGGCTAACTCCAACCCTATGTGGGACTGTGTGGGAGGCATGGGGGTTCTTATGCTCACAGATAAGCACTAGGGCGACCAAGAGTGTTAAACACACAGGATTTCTCCTTCAAAGAAAGGGGTGTACAAGCTGCTATCCACCCAGAAGGCTGGCAGCAGATGTGGTTAATAGCCTGGTGACCTTTGCACTGTCTGTGTGGACAAGACCACACTAGATCCTCCCCAGACCCTTATCATGAGCCTGCCAATCTATAGAACTTATCTTTATGGGAGGTGTCACATGTAATCCAATCTATAGAACCCATCTTTATGGAAGGCATCATAGATACTTTCCAAAGAGTTTCAATGTAGTCATATCTTGAATTTTATTGTGCACACAGGGTTGGGTTGATTATCACCAGGAAATTTTTCATCAAATTGTGCTGTGCTTAAATATGCCTAAAATAAATGACTCAGGGTCAAAGTTTGAACCAACACTGGCTACGTAGTCATGTTGAACCAAATTGCCTTCTTGCCTCCCCTTACTCTTCTGGCTGTGGTGATCACAGAGAACCCCTACAGGGCTGAAATCAGGGTTATGGGGCTAAATCCAAAACCTTCAGGGTCAGGGGCTAACTTCAGACTCTCATGGTTTAGGTTCAACCTCTGAACCCTGTGCAACACTCCTTACTGCATGACTGTTTCCTCCACAGAAGTGACGCATATTAACTATGGAAACCCAGGGAACACTAATGCTGGGGTATAGCTCCAGCCTAGCTTGTAAGAGACTCCAGGGCCCATTCCTAGTACCCTGGTGGGTGATCCATATATATGGCAGAAATCTGAGGAAAAATAAGTAAAATAAAGGGGAGAAAGCTCCACCATAATCTAATAGCTGAGATATAACAGTCACCAGTCTTGTTTTTAAGTCATAGGCAACCTGTGCCGGGGTCTGGAGTGTGGTGATATCTTGCTTGTACAAATAAAACCTGTCTGAGGGTCAGAGAAATGAGTTTGCCACTAGCTAACCATAGAGGTCTGTATAGACAGACAGGGAGTGAGGTAGTTGGGCAGAAACAGGGTATAAACAGGGAGAAACGGGAACTTGCTCTCTTGTCTGCTGAGAAGCTTAGGAGGTAAGGTGCATTGTGGCTCCTCCTTCTCTCTGATCTCTCAGCATTTCCCTCTATACCTGACTCTGGCATTTTATTATCTAGACCAGTTAAGAACTCCATTTACACTGGAGGATGCTACTCACGCTGCTGGTAAGTCTGGTTGATTCGACGGATCTCCTCAGGGGTACGAGAAGCCAGGATCTCTATCAGGCAGCCTTCATCTGTGCCAGCTCCCTAAATGTGAGGCCAGAGATGAGGATGGTATGAACCAGTGGATCAAGTTAATCTGCAATTTTTATGCAGAGTTAAACAAATAAAGTAATAATACAATTAAGCTCACAACTGAAGAACTTGAGCCCCACACTCAGAGAAATGTAGGTGTGAAGCTGCAGGGTAATGCCAGCCCACTGGGGTCCAGGAGCAGGGCCTGTTAACTTTTACCTGGCCTGCCTAAGCCCAGTGTATTCACCATAATCATTATTCATAATAACACACACTTGTACAGCCTGGCTGCCACCTGTTGCTTGTCATAGCAAGTTAGGCGCAGTTTCTGCTTTCTGTGGTCCTGCTCGTTCCTTGACCTCTGCTCTCTTTCTCTGGAGGTCAGATGTTCTGGCAAAACTTTGTTACTTCCCTTTCCCCAGAGTCTAGCCCATAACCTTCTACAAGGTGTATTTATTGATAAGAAACTACTGGCATCTCATATTCACTGCTGCCAGTCAGCTCAGCTGTAGAGGAAGCATAAGCATGCCTGGATTCTACCAGCACCACAGACCAGCCCCAGGAAGGAGCAAATGACTCAGCAAATTTGGGGGGGGGGGGACAATTTTTTAATGACATCTGCCATGTACATTTCAAGGTGTCAAGAGGGAAAAACCTGCTTCTCATCCTCTCTTCTCCCCTACCTCAGAAGGGCTGGCCATAGTTTTTTGTTTTTTTTTTTTATCTTATTTTTTAACTTTAAGGTTTTACTTTATGTGTGTGTGGGGCTGTGCCTGTGAGTCCAGTGTCCAAGGAGGCCAGAAGAGGGTGTCAGATCCCTGGAGCTGGAGTTACAGGTGGTTGTGAGCTACCCAATGTGTGCTGGGAAGCGAACTACAGTCCTGCTAGAGCCGTAAGCACTCTTAGGCACTGAGCCATCTCTCCAGCTCTGCTGGCCATGTTTCTGAAGGATAACACATCACCATGTGCACTGAGGATACCAAGTGCAAAGAAGACCACTGACCTTCATAGCCCTGCGCAGCTCCTGAACGTCATACAGCACGGTAGGTGTCATCATTCCCACAATCACCTGCTCAAAGTTGCTGCTCAGCTCTGACTTCAAGTCATCAATCAGGTCCTGAAATGAGAAGAAAGTGCCTACTTTTAGCTGCTATTGTTTCTCATGCCCGTCCTTCTCTAATGACAGTGTAAGGGTGTCTTGGGCACTAAGATGCTGTCTGTGCTGTCACCTTCTGGAAGCAGGCAGTGGTGTTTTCTTAGGTCATTTGGCATTTCTGCGTATCTATCGTCACACCAGAAGGCTGTTAAAACACTGATCAATTTTCCAACTATCTGTCTAAGACCAGATTTTATTTGACTTCAACCAAAACCACACAGTACAGCAAATAAGGACAGTGTGGCCATTTCCCATTAAGTCAAACTTCAGTGTGATTTGTAAAACAATGCCAGCTTTCTCATTAAATTTTGTTTTTGTTTTGTTGTTCTCGTTAAATTTTACTTTTGAAACAACCTCTCTCTCTCTCTCTCTCTCTCTCTCTCTCTCTCTTCTCTGTGTAACAGCTCTAGATGTCCTGGAACTCACTCTGTAGACCAGGCTGGTCTGTAACTCATAGAGATCTGCCTGCCTCTGCCTCCCAAGTGCTGGAATTAAAGACATGTGCCACTACCTCCCAGCTATTTTTCTCTTTTTAAAATTTGTAATTACATTCTTTTATTTGTGTGCAGAGCTGTGCTGTAGTGCACAAGTGGAGGTCAGAGGACAACCTAAGGGAGAAGGTTCTCTCTGTCCTATGGGATCGAACTCAGGCTGTTTAGCTTGGCAGCAAGCACTTTTACACACTAAGCCACAAATGTGGATTGAATGAATGAATGATGTATAGCTCACACCTCACTTGATTGTCTTTGTCTGCCACTGCGCATTCAGTTTCTGGAGGATGCAGAACAGTTTATGGCGCTCTGGAGATAGTCAGTGACACTCTGTCCCATTCCCTACAGGAGTGCCCCGAGTTCACCTGCAGATGCTCTGGAGAGCAGCTAATCAGCTCTGCCCTGCCCATCCCTCCTTGCCCTTGCCCAGCAGTGAGGAGCCATCTGTGAGAAGCAGCCTCAGTCTTCTTGGCTGACAAATAGATTCCCTGGGTGTAAAGTCCCTGGGTGCTGATGCACAGAGATACTCATTGGCTGTTTCCTTAGACTGAGGTTCTCAATAAGCACAAGAGTTGGGGGTGCTTTGATGTGGAAAGACTGGGCTGAACAATTCTAGCGAAGGAGTTGTTGTACATGGAGTCGTGATTCTTCAGGGGTGTGCAATTCAGACAAAATGTAAAGCATGCAGAGTGAACAGTGTGTTTATAAGCTGCCATGGGATTGCACAGAAAGCCCCACTCTGGAGTGTGATGGTCGAAGGGATGACTATCTAAACATGTATTTATATGGAGGAGTCACAGCACTAAATTCCAGAAAAGTATGGTGAAGGCAAACTGGGTGGACTTCTAAGTATTTCAGTCAGGGATCTTGAACACTAGGGCCAAACAGCTCTGCAGGTGCAGTGTGCCTGGCTCCACAGCACTTCTGGTTGAGCTCGCAACCCACAGTCCTGTGAGGACTTGGGTGGGAGGTGACCGAGCCTGGCCATGAAACCGAGAGTCAACAGCTCCCTATAATTCAGGGCAATCCTTGTTTTGCTTTGAGCTTTGCAAAAATATCCTTTAAATTTTCTTTTCAGATATGTTTCTTTTTATATGTATGTATGTGTGTGTTTGTGAGTGTGTGTGAGACCTCACATGTGGAGGCCAGTGGACAATTCTGTGGAGTTGGTTCTCTTCTACCACCAGTAAGGTCATAAGTATCGAACTCGGGTCATCGAGCTCTGGGGCCAGTGCCCCTACCCATTGAGCCACCATTTTATATCATTTTTAATTGACACACAGCTGTTATAGTACTAATGGGGCTCAGTGTGACATTTCAATCCTTGTACACAATGTGATAATCAAGTAAAATGACTGGCATACCTGTTGCTTCAGATGTTTGTCATTTCTTTGTTAGGGACATTCCAAATCCTCTCTACCACTATTTTGAGGTATTTGATTAACTGTTACCCACGGTCACCCTCCCATGCTCCAGAGCCTCAGGAGTTACCCTCTCGTCTAGCTGCTCCCCTATGCCTGTTGCCTCTCCTCTCTTCTCCAAGTCTTCCTAGACTCTGGTAACCCCTAACTTCACAGATAGTCTTAAAGCACTGGGTCACTTCAGGGGTCTAGTTTTGGGTAGGGGTGGGGTATGGGGGAGTGGGAGTTAGAGGCAGGGGATTCTGCTTCCATCTGCCTGACAAATCCCTGGTCACCTTAAGTTCATGAGAAACTGGGCCTACCCTGCCAATGTTGCTCTTGTATGCAGTCCTGATTTCCTGACGTTGGGCAGTGTTGCGGTAGGCCAGGACTCCAATGATGGCATCTTCATCGGTACCTGGGGACAAGATGGAGACAGCAAGGGGCCATGATTTGCTGGCATGAGAAAATGGTCTCCCCTGTGGCCACTGGAGTTACCTCATGAAGGCTGAATGTTTGCTAAGAAAACAGAACCTGTATAAGACCCCCCGGAAGCTCAGGCCTCCAGGATCTTTTCCCAGGACCTCGGCCACCCCAATCACCATGCGGAAGCGGAAACTTGATGCAAACAGCAAGAGGCTTTAATGAAAGGTGGATGTTTGTACAAATGGGCTCTCTCAGCATGCAGGCTAGAGAGCAGCCCCGTCCCCCAGGCACAGGCATTTTTAAGGCAAAAACCACAAGCTTAGGAAGGGGCCTTGACTCTCTGTCCATTGAGTTGAGTACATGGCCAGAGTCATGGGTTCCTAGGAGGCCCTTTGTCTTGAGGGGAGGGCTGGGAATCAGATGGCCTCCTGACCCCACCAGTGGTAAAACCTGCAGACCTCAGGATAGGCTAACTAATCTTGCCTGAGCAAATGGAAGATATATCTTTGTTTAATAGGGACAATTAATTGTTAATTATTGACACATTGGCCAGTGGGGCGATCTGTTTCCTTCATGATCCCCGCGGGGAGGGTGGCCATCTGGGAATTCTTGGTACCCAGTTATCTTATGGCCTTGTAAGGGAGTAATTGCTGGCAGCTGGTAAATTCCAGGCACTAAGTCATAGTAGTGGCCTTAGTTAGTTTCTGGGTTAGGCCGCCCTACATTCTGTTTGGAGAGTTTCCTTATCTGGGCTATATTTCTTTGCTAAGTCTTTCACCTGGAAGCAAGAATGACATCACCCTATCACCCAGCAGTCTGGCAGGGGCTCCAGGCAGAGGAGTTCATCTTTCTCACTGCTGGATATTACTGTTTGAAGAATTTTCTGTTTATTTGTTGGAAGAAACAGCTGGGGTCGGGGCGGGGGGCATAGAAACTGCTCTACTAAAATACTGTAGGTAGAAAGTTTTAAATGTGTGAGAAATCACAAGATTAAATATTCAGGAAAGAGAGGTTGGAGGGAAGACTACAGGACTCTCAAATCCAACCCCCAGAGTTCTTCTGCACTGGGAGGAGGAGCCCTTCCTGCTTTGAACCCTAAAATTAGCTTCGAGATTTTTTTTTAAAGTATCACTCCAGATTCAGATTTTCTCCCAAGCCATGCAAAGTGTGGCCCCACAACCTTTGCTGTACCCACACTCTGCTTTTAAGCCATAGATTACCACATAAATCCAAGACTTTTCCACAGGCCTGGAAAAACCTTTTAACTAAATTCTCATATTCTAGTTCGGTTCATCTTTCCTATAAGAAAAACAAAAGCTCATCCCTCACCTGCTCAGAAACTCACATTGGCTCCCTGTGGTCAGCTGGGGTCATATGGGGCTGCCATCTTGGGCACTCACAGTTTCCCGTTCTCTGAGGTATATATGGGTGGACAAGGAGAGCAGGCAGCCAGATTAAGAAGCTTAGCTCTCTATTGTTTGTTTGGGGCTTTCCTACGTAGCCCAGGCTGACCTTGGACTGTCAGTCCTCCTGCCTCTGCTTCTCCAGGGTGGTGATTCCCTGGATATCACACCCAGCTCCAAATCTGCTTTTGAATTGCTCTGCTTTCCCCACTTGCACTCTTGAACCCTTCATTACCCGTCTATGCATTTCCGTGTCTCCTGGAGTCTCCCCACATAGCATCCTAATTTTGATACCTGCAGTTTCCTGGCCAGTGTCTCTGGGCTACCCTTTCAGCGCTATGATTCAGTTGGTGACTTCTCAGTAATAGCCCTAGGACCCCCTTTAGGACTTGTCTTCTCAGGAAGCCCTCGATGTCTGGCGGGTTCCTGCTTTGCAACTCTTCACTGTGACTTCTCTAAGCTCAACTTCACTTCCAGAAACACATTCTCTCTTCATTACTTATTAAAATTCCACCCACCTCCCAAGGGCATCTCAAATTCCACACCTCCAATGTTTGCCTGATGGTCCCACATGAAAGGTGATCTCCTCTCCTTGAACCACATTAAAAAAAAAAAAAAAAAAAAAAAAAAAAAAAAATTCAAGCAACCAAATTCATGCATCCAAGCCTGGCATCAAAATTACTATGACCTGGAACTCTCTACCCTTTACTGGGGATCAAATCCAGGGCTTTGTGCAGGTTAGGGCACTCTAATGACTGAGCCACAATCCTAGCCCCACAGAGTTCTTACCCATGCATATTGTTTTGTTTTTCGAGACAGTGTAGCCCTGGCTGTCCTGGAACTTTGTCTGTAGATCGATCAGGTTGGTCTCAAACTTACTGCCTGCCTCTGCCTCTGCCTCCCAAGTGCTGGGATTAAAGGCCTGTGCCACCACTGCCTTGCCCATCCGATGTTTTTAAATTTTATTTTAAATCTCGAGAACCCACGTGTGTGTGTGTGTGTGTGTGTGTGTGTGTGTGTGTGTGTGTGGGTGGTGTCGGGGGTCTGCAGAGGCAAAAGTCGTTCCACCCTCTGGAGCTGTCCGATGTGGGTGATGAGAACGGAACTTGGATTCCCTGAAAGAACAGTACATGCTCTTCATTGCAGAGCTATCTCCAGCCATTCTGTATACTCTTAGCTGTGCTAGCAAGCTCCCTTGGATTCCTGACCACCAGGAATAGGTTTTATGGTCCTTGTCTCCTCCAATAGCTCACCTCATCAATCCACACCAGCAGGCCCTGGAAAAGGCCTGGTTGTGCCAAATGTCTCCTGATTTTTGCTTTGGGAGTTCTGAACACTTTGCTACACACTCTGGACTATACGTTTTTTCGATATACATAATTAAAAGCAGACCAAAAATGATGGTGGGATCTACATATTTTCTACTTTATTTACAACCAAAGGAAAATGAGAAGGGCATCTAAGTGCAGGGTGATGTTCTTTCAGAGATGGGTGGCAGGGTCACAATGCTTAGATCTGCCCTGTGGTGAAGTCTGATGGCCAGAGGTTGCCTAACTGCAGTTTCCCAGTGTCCTGCCTGTCACCGGTTCTGACAGCCTGGGAAAGTCAGCTCACCTCACTCTATCCCTCTACCTCCCCAACACCCTGCTTCTCATGAGCAGGCCCTAGGGGTTAAAAGCCAACAGGCCTTGTGAAGCCTCTGCCTTTAGGCTAATATGATGGAGACTGACAAACACTTGCCACTCTGGTCGCTGTTGTTAGACAGACTAAGGAAAATGAATCTGAGATGAAAAGTCTAAGAACCAAGTGTCTTTACCCAAATCTCAGAGATCCTCAGTGCTAACTAGGGACTGGGGATATGTCTCTTTCCACATATTCAATAAGAAAAGCCTTTGAGGCAGAAATGTGTCCAGGGCAACTGGCAGAGCATCATGTATAACTGTAGCTGTGCTTTGGAAGACAACTGCAGGGCCAGGCCAGGGAAACATCACTCCTGCCTGCTCATGTACAACCGCCATCTGCATGTCAGTACTGACTCAGCTGGCAGCTCCAGGCGTAACAGAGGTGATGGGACATTTAAAAGGTGGAACTTAACGGGAGGAGGTTAGGTCTTTGGGAGGTGTGTTCATAAATCACCTACTCCTGGTCCCTCTTCTCTGTCTCTTTCTATTCTCTAACTGTAACATGAATTAACTTTCTTCTTGATGTGCTATCTAATCACAGGCTCCAAAGCAATGAACTAGTCATCCATGGACTTGATATCTCCAACCATGGACTTGTGATCCAAAAACAAACATTTCCCCTTTTTAAAGGTGATTATCTTGGGTATTTTGTTATAGTAACAGAAAACTCACTACTAACACACTATCTCATCCAAATTGCCTTGGGTAGACAATGTTACCATCATTTTTGCTTGTTTGCTGTTGTTTTGTAGTACAGGGGATTGAACCCAAGGGCCTTCCTTGTGCCTGCTAGACTAGCAATCTACCAATTAAGCTACCATCCCTGACTATATCCCCAATATAGTTTCTTAAAAGGGGATCTATTTATTCATAAATATTAGTGTCCATGGTGCCCTCCTCATGACTGTGACATACCACACTCGGGACAGTTCACACTCAGAAAGATACTTACCAAGTCCTTTCATGGCCTTCCTCAGGGCCTGGGCATCTTCAATTGCATTGAATCCTGAAGCAGCTTTTACAGTTCCTCCTTTGGTTGCCTGGAAGCACAGAAAATGGTATGACTGACAGTGACCGCTCATTCAGAGTCTCAGGCTCTACTCCAGGTGCGACAGAAGCAACCATGAAGGCTCTCAACCCTGGGACAGCTGCCACCCTCTCTGAGGAAGGCAGTGAGCACACCAACAAATACACATCCCATAAACAGCATGGTAGGGGAGGTGCCACAAAGTAAGAAGAGTCCTGGTGTGCTGCAGAAAGGACTGGAATTTAGGCTGAGAGATGATTCATATGAGGCACTTGGCCATACAACAATGAAGGGAAGGTGCTACAGACAACGTAAATGCTATCTCAAAGGCCCTGTGGCTGTCACCAGCTTTGAAGGAGCCAGAAGCCGATGGGAGAAGTCACACTACCTCCTGTGATGTAATCTCCCAAAATGTGGAAAAAAAAAAAAAAAAGCATGACTTCAGTCAGTTCAAGTCTGCAGAGCAAAAAAAGCATTAGCTATAAATATAATTCACAAGGAATTGCCAAACCAATGATATAGCTTCTCCCATTGATGAACTTGCAAAGGAGAGAGAGGTGGAGGGGAGCGACAGTTCTAGAGGTTAAAAAGACACATCAGCCAACAGCAGCTGGCTGCATGCCTGTCATCCCAGCATTTGGGAGATGGAAGTAGGAGAATCAAGAGTACGTGGCTTGCCTCAGCCACAAACCTAGTTCAAAGCCAGCTTAGGCTAAAGAGACCCTGTCTCAAACCCCAAACCCCAAACCAACCAACCAACCAACCAAACCAAACAAAAAACAAAAATCAGTCACAGAGTTGAACCTTATTTGGATGGAGGAGCCAGATAAGGAACCACGACAGTTATAAGACAGCTGGACACTGGACATTTTACAACACAGGGAGTCAGCCCTAAGAGTCTTTTGTCTGACAATGGCGCTGTGGCTGCAGATTACATTTTAAGAGGTTTACCTTTGTACAGCTGACTCAGAGGAAAAAGATAGGATATCTGCAATCAGCTTCAAAACAACGCAGGTGGGAGGAAGTAGAGATAAATAGGACAGAAAATTGAGTTCGAGTTAGTAATTAACCAAAGGCATGGGAAGGAAGCTAGTTAGCCCCCGAAGGCGTGGGGGGTTCCTGAAGACAATCCCTCTCTTGTCAGCTCTGGCCCCACCTTTGGTGTCCCTGTTAACACACTGATTTTAAGGGAGGGGGAAATATCAAATAGCTCATCTTTAAGATTTAAGCACTGAATGAAGGATGTCTACAGATGGATGAACCAGGGAGGAGGAGGCAGCAGAGCTGGTTGAGGTCCAGCAAACAACTGCTGTTTCATTTTGGTAAAGATAGCTATTTTTAATGCACGTGTGTGTGTGTGCACGTGGAGGCCAGAAACTGACATCAGGTGTTACTTCAACTACTCCACCTTGTTTTTTAATTCAAAACTTTATTTATGTGTATTGTGTGTGGATGCCCACAAAGTCCCAAAGACGGCATCAGGTCCTCTGGAGCTGGAGTTAGAACTGATGTGAGCCGCCAGATGCAGGTGTTAGGAACTCAACTCAGGATCCTACAAGAGTGACAAGAGCTCTTAACTGTGACAGGGCAGGGTCTCTCACTGAGATCACTGATTGGCTGGACAGACTAGCCGGCAAACCCCAGGGATCGGCCTGTCTTTGCCTCTACTTGAGTTACCAGTGCACATTGCTACACCCACTTCTTACATAGGTTCTGGGGATCGAACTCAGGTTCTCAGATGAGCTATCGCCCCACCCCAAGATGTGTACACACACACACACACACACACACACACACACACACACACACACACTGTAATTACATACACAAGCCTCCCTTCCTTTTTTTTTCTTTTCTTTTTCTTTTTTGAGACAGTCAGTCTCTAGTCCAGGCTGCCTGGCCTTGAAATGAGGATGACCTTGAACTTCCGACCTTCCTGCCTTCAACTCCTGAGTGCTAGGATACCAGGTATGAGACAACATGCCCGGTTTTATGGTTCTGCGAATCAGGAGGACCAGGAATTCAAAAGCATCCTTGAATACACAGAGTTTGACGATAGCCCAGAATATACTCCGGCTGCTGTGGAGCTGGAGACCAGAGAGTAAGGGCGGAGGCTGCAGGTGAGGTGTGAAGCTGGCAGGTGAAATAAAGAAGATGGACTCACACTGTCAGACTTCACGCATGTTTTAAAGCAAAGACCACAGAACCCGCTGACAGATTAATGTGGAGATGGAGACAGAAAAAAAAATCAAAGATGGCCTTCAAATTTTGGAGCAGTACCTTGAAAGTGGTGTCATTTATCCAGAGGGGACACTGAGGGAGGATGGCCATATCTGACACGATGGGTGTGAGGTTTAGAAGTTCTACTCTCAAAACGTTTTCTATTAGGCATCATGCTAAACACCCATGAGCAGTGGTCCACAGGGCAAGTCTAGAGGTTAGCCTAAAATACACATTTATGGCCCAATAGCACTGGATGGGGTTTGTTGAAATACCCTAGGGAGAAGTGAAGCCTGAGGGCAGCAGCACTGGGACCAGTGTGGGTCTCTCAGCCCTGAATACATCCAGCCCAGCAGAGACTGACAGGCCATCTAGCGTGATGATGATGATGATGATGAGAGGAGTCACCCTGGAGATGTAGGAAACCCCACAATAGGGGATGGAGGAAGTGCTAAATTGGGAAGGAACAAGGAGGAGTCTCCACACCCTAAGTTCAGAGATAATGGACCAGGTGGGCACATGGGGTTTAGAATCTAGGCCTCCAGACCTATGAAACAAAACAGTTTTGTTTTTTTTTTTTTTTTTTTTTTTTTTGTTTTTTAAAAAAAAGGTTTTTTTGTGTGGCCCTCAGCTTTGGAACCTATACTGGCACTCGCTCTGGAGACCAGGCTGGCCTCGAACTCACAGAGATCTGCCTGCCTCTGCCTCCGGAGTGCTGGGATTAAAGGCGTGCACCACCAACGCCCGGTGAAACAAAACATTTCTGTTATTTTTTTTTTTTAAATGTCACCTGGGTTGTGGCACTAGCTACAGCAGCCATGGAAACGTGATACATGCACCTGATTTATTTTACCTTCTATTAGTAATTTCTGTGAAAATTTTAAGTTGGCCTAACTTAGCCTGTGAGCTCATCGTGAAACTCTGTGTGTGTGTGTGTGTGTGTGTGTGTGTGTGTGTGTGTGTGCACCTATGTACTCACGTGCTAAAAATGCAGCCCAGGGTCTCACATATGGTAGCTCACACCCTCAGCTTCCTGAGTTAATGTTTCCTGAGGTTCTTTGGAATTCTAGTATTGAAAGGTTTTGGATGGTTCTCAAACACCAAGTTCAAGTTTGAACTGCATTGCTGATGACACTGTTATAAGATGAAAATTAATGTCTAACAAGAGGAATCAATAGAGAAGTGGGCCAGAGTGGTTCCATTTACATATTAACATCACAAACAACTTTTTCTTATTCTAGGGGAAAGGTCAGGAGCTTTTTTTCTCTTGTCAGTCTTAAGAGTGTCTGTATTGATTAAATACTAGGTCACAATGCACAATTATCTTTTCAAGGAAGATAGGGAGGGGTGGTGTCCATCCACACCAGGAAAGCTTGTGTTAGCAAAGGAAACATCACTGTCCTGATATTTTTGTCAACTTGACACAAGATAGAGTCATCAGAAAGGAGGAAACCTCATTGAGAGAATGCCTCCATGAGATCTGGTTTTAAGGCATTTTCTTAATTAATGATCATCGTGGGAGGGCCCAGACCATTATGGGAGCTGCCATCCCCAGGCTGGTGGTTCTGGGTTCTATAAGAAAACATGATGAGCCATGAGAAGCAAGCTAGTAAGCAGCACCCTCCGTGACCTCTGCAGCAGCTCCTGCCTCCAGGTTCCTGCCCTACTTGAGTAAGGCCTTCACTGATTTCGATAATGAACTGCTATATGGAACTGTGAGTGAAATAAACCCCTTTCCTCATCAAGTTGTCTTGGTCATGGTGTTTCACCACAGCAATAGGGACCTTAACTAAGACAATCACATAGGAAAGAATGACAAATGAACACTACAAACAGGGGCCACGCTGCAAAGGAGGAAATGTTATTGTGATTACAGGAATTGGGAAGACGTGAGATGAGAAGGATCAGAAGATAAGAGGATGAACTCGGCTGAGCACTGAAGGACAGCAGCTTCATCCACACAGGCACACTGGAGAGAACCAGTGCTCAGAGGGAGGGGTCACATTCTGACTTAGTCGTCTACCAACTCAGAAACCTCTCTGAGTGTCGAGAGCAGATGGACCAGCATAAGGCAGCCCAAAGGCTCAGCTTCCACATCCATGCTAACTTCACCCAACTCCCAAAGGGACCCAAGCTCAGGCTTGTGCCAAAGACCAGATCACTAAGTCCCAAGAAATCTGACCGCAGCTGTGAGCAGGGGGCAGATGGCAAGCGGGGACTGCCAATAAGCATCTCTCCAGGCCTGGCTCAAGATGCTCAGCAAGGCATTGTCACCTACCCCATGATCCCCAGAGTTGGATCCCTGAGACCCATGTAAAGACAAGAGAGAACTAACTCCACAAAAATGTCTTCTAATCTCCACACAAATGGCATGTGCTCCCTGCCCCAAAATACAAAGGAAACATCCCTTTGGTCAGCCTAAGATGACAGAACTGTCCCAAGTGATCCATCCCCTGCTGGGAGTAGAAAATGGCTTTCCTCTGAATTGGCCTAGTTGTTCTAAAATAAACAGTTGTATTTCAGAGAAAAAAAAAACATCACTTTTTTCTATTTTCTCTGGATGTTAAACATGTGAGGGAGTCTGAGAATTGATTTTCAGGGTCAAGTAACCACTTTGTAATAAATCTAAATGACATTAAAAAGAAAGAAGGGAAGAAAGAAAGAGAGAGAGAGAGAAAGAAGGAAAGAAAGAAAGAAAGGAAGGAAGAAAAGAAGAAGAAAGAGCCAGGCTAAGTGGCATATGCCTTTAATTCTATCACCGGAGAGGCAGAGGCAGGCAGATCTCTGTGAATTCGAGATCAGCCTGGTCTACAGAGTGAGTTCCAGATCAGCCAGGGCTATGTAGAGGGACCCTACAGAGAAAGAGACAGAGACAGACATACACACAGAGAGACAGAGAGAAACTGCCTACCTGCCTTGTATCTTTCCTGCCCACTGCTGAACAAACAGACCTTTGTTTAAACCACTGGTCCCTAAGTACACATCCTGTGCCTGCCTGTGGCTGGCACCAGGTGGAGTGAGGCACTTACCATGGCTATAGGTCAGGTTGAGAATTCAGTCACCCCAGCAGAAGCTCCTGTGAAAAAAAAAGCAGAAGAGAAATTACAGTGACCACGGATGTGGAATTAATGGTTAGTTAAGGCATTGTGTTTGCATGAAACTGAGCCAAGAGGAAATGATAAATGAATTCAACAAAAGGTCACCTGTGGAAGAGCCAGAGCTCTGAGACCAGGCTAACCATTAAAGAGATTTGAGCAGTTGAGTTTATTATGCCATCAGCAGCTTCCTAATTGCTCTTGTGTTTGGAGGTGTGCACTACACCTGTGCTGCTGTTTTGTTGGGGTGAAGTGCTGTAACTGATCCTCAGCACAGACAGAGATTCCAAATTGTACACTACTGCAGGTCAGAACAGAGTCGAGAAGGGACAAGCTGTCTGAACCAGGAAACTAGAGCACTCAAGACTGACCAGGATGTGTGCACATGTGCCTGCATGTGTGTGAATATATGTGTGTGTGCCTGTATCATGTGTGTATCTGCATCTGTGTACATGCATGAGTCTGTATGTATGTCTGCATACATATTTGTAAATGTCTGTGTGTCTTGACAGCCCACCCAGCATCAGACTCTGTCTGTTTCCCAGGTGCTGTTTTCACTGCACCATCTCAGAACTAGAAGGACTTTCCCACATCACATTTTCACATTTGTCTCAGTTTCCAGTGCCCCCTCCTTCATCAGGAAAGCGTGTGTGCAAAAGTTTCCTATGTGCTCCCGTTCTTTTGAGGGGTTCCCTTGTGAAGAATAGGCCTACTTCCCCCAGTTCCTCTGAGTCATGTGGGCATGACACCTCAACACTCAAAGAGTCATCCTGCAACAAATGATTGGGACATCTGGGAGCTTGGGGAAAATGCAGAACCAGCTGGGTATAACAGAACTCAGGAGGCTGAGGCAGGAGAATTGTGAGCTCAAGACCAGCCTGGCCAATGCAGTGAGACTGTCTCAAAACAACATGGCTGGAAATGTAGCTGAGTTGGTAGAATGCTCGTGTAGAATGCAGGAACCGCTGGGACAGAGCCCCGCATGGAGCCTACTCTTGCAACAGGCAGCTGAGTGTCAGCCAATCACAAGCAACAGCTGTCAGCCAATCACAAGCAACAGCTGTTCTGCCCATTTTCTGATAAGACAGATGAGAACTGTAGCCAATCAGGCTGTCTCTTACGCCTCACTTCCCTTTTCTGTACGTCACTCCCTTTCCCTTCTTCTGGTTTCAATTAAAACCTGCTGCTGCAGAATCGGTGTTCTGATCATTTTGATCCGGGCTCTGGCCCGGGTCCAGGATAATAAACAAAGCCCAATAAGATCTGCAGAGCTAGGTTCATTGCTATTTTGTCTTTAACATGGAGGCTGTTATGATCAGGATACCAGGAAGGAGCAGGCCTGGTAGTGTATCCCAGAAGCGCCTCTGAGGAAATGCCATCTGAGCTGAAGGAAGAGCTCAGGTTGGCCTTGAACGCCATCTATATAGTCGAAAATGACCTTGATTTTATCCTCCTGGCTCCACTTCCTGAGTGCTGGGATTACAGACCTATAACACCATGCCCCGGTTCATCTGGTGCTGAGGATTGAACCCAGGGCTCAGTGTATGCTGGGCAGGCATCCTGCCCACTGAGCTACAACCCCAGCTCAGCTGAATGAGGCTCTACTGACAGGCAGGGGCAGCCTCATCAAGTTCCAGGAGGTCTCTTCCAGGTGGAGGAAGAGTTGTGCAAAGACCCTGAGGCAGAAATGAGCTAGTGTGGCCAGTGATTCTATGGATCCTAATAAGACACCCATAAAAGGGAGGGGAGCATGGGAACTCCCTGTCCCTCTGCTACACCTGCCTTCTGGGTGAGATATGTCTTTTCTAAAGTGCTGGTGATTCATTCGGCAAATTTTGCCTGAGTTCTGCAAGCCACTCCAGCAATCAAACACATGGTAACTATGGGATCCCCTGGTTTATTGTCTGTGGGCCAGAAGCACTTCCTGGGCTTGAGAGTGGCACCTGAAGTGGGCAGTGTGGTGGGACAGAACCTTTAGCCCTTAATAGTATTGGAACAGCATTAAGGTGTAGGGTACCCATTTGCAGCCAACTGGTGTGGGAACCCACCACCCCCACATCCGGTGGCTGGTACTCGATTGGCAGGCAGAGTCCCTTAACTGTGGAGAATGGAAGGCCTCAAAACATTCTCAGAACCCAGGTCTCTCTGGCCTTCTCCTGCCGTCTGGTCTCTTCCCAATTTGACTTTGGAAACCAGGCTTCTAGAGCCCTTCTCAGTCCCCTTTGAGTAAGCTACAGGACCTACTCAAAGGTTGAGTTAACCTTTCCCTATATTTCTGTGTAGGAGTTGGCCATAGGGAAATTCTCTTATCTGTCTTGTTTGACAGTAAATCACAGGACTCTCATTGCAGGTGGCTCTTGCATGACACTCAGGAGAAAGGAATGCACAGTCCAAGAAGAATCCCACAGAGGTGTTGCTGACACCCTCACCCCCCCCACTCAGGTAACCACCATTGACTCGGCCTTCTGCTCAATAGTATTTCCACACATCCATCCATTCTCCATAGAACCTAAACATAAAGCCATAAGTTTCCCCAGGCCTAGTGTGGTGGCATACACCTTTAAATCTTAGCACTCAGGAGACAAAGGCAGGCAAATCTCAATGAGTTTGAGACCAACCTGGTCTACACAGCGAGTTCCAGGACAGCCAGGGCTACCCAGGACAGCCAGGGCTACCCTGTCTTTAAAAAACAAAACAAACAAACAAAAACAACTCAAACTTTTCCTTAGGTGGTCAGTGTCTTCAAAGACTTGAGTCTCATATAAAACCTTGATTAAATAAATGTATTAGCTTTATGTGTTAAACTTCTTGTTATTGGACTATTGGCCAGACCACACCTTTCTGTGCTATCTGGCACCAGATGTTAAGCATCAGGCCAGCCTGGGTTACGTAAGATCCTGTATCAAAACAACAACAACAACAAAATATACCCAAACAAACAAAAAACCAAAAACAAGAGACTTTTGCAAGACTGAGAAGACTGTCTTGTAAGCACAAAGGCTGAGCTCAATCCCCAGAGCCTATGCATGAAGAGTGCTCACTTGTGATCCCAGCACTAGGGTGGCAGAGACAGGCAGATACCTGTGTTCATTGGTAGGCTAGCCTAGTCTAAAGACCAATGAGAGACCCTGTCTAAAAAAGGGGGGGTGGTCAGTATCAGAGGAACAACAGAAGAGTTTGTCTTCTGGCTGCCACACGAACACACACACATTTAGACTAGGAAGCAGCTTGGTTGCAAACCTCAGAGCCACCCCTGGGGGAAGTTATGCTGGGATGGGATGAAGTGGGATGAAAACCCTGCTCTCTACAGACTTCACAAGCAGGAGGAAGTCAGGGCCAAGATCCTGCTGACCAAGGAGAGCAGTTTCATCCCGTCGGTGAGCAACCTCAGCTTTCTGAACCCTCACTGAAATGGGCACTAACGACAACAGTCTTGGGGCAATGCCTTTGGTTTTGAATGATTCAGAGAGAGGCACATGTTTGTGTTGATCGGAGACCCACAGCTTGCTGTGGAAATATCAAGCAGATATTCATGATCAGACAAGCAGATTTTCCTGAGGTAACACCACCAGTCTGGTGGACGGCAGCAAAGCCACCGTGAGGCCTGGTTACACCGAGAAAGTCGGACAGCCCCTCTCTCCATGTAAATGTCAGTAGAACATAGCAGACAAAGCAGCTGCTAGGTTGGGTATGCAAGCCACATGGGCTTTTAGCTTCATGATAACCTGGATAGTCACTCTCCACATATGTCTATCACCAAGTGGAGCCCCCACTTGGAATAGCGCATACATGTCTCTTTTTTAAAACACAGGATCTCTAGCCTAGGCTGCCCTTAACCTCCATATGTAGTTTGGAATGGCTTTGAACTCCTGATCCTCCTGCCTCCTTCTCTGACATGCTAGGGTTACAGGCCTACACTTCCATGGTTGGCTTATGAGCACTGGGTACTAAACCCAGAGCTTTGCATCTGCTAGTCAAGCCTTCTACCAACTGAACTACAATCCCAACTTGGGAAGCACATCTCTATTTATTTTAAAATAAAATGAATGAGTGATAGCAAGATGGCTCAGTGGGTGAGGGTGCTTGCTGTCAAGTCTGATGACCTGACTTTGATACCTGGGACACACATGGTAAAAGGAAAGAACACACTCCATAAGGCAGCTTCTGACCTCCACACTCACTCTGGGGCACATGTGTGCCCAAACACACACACACATCATATGGGCAAAACAAATAAATATGTAATTAAAAGATAAATAAGGTGAATAAAATAAATATGAATGAAGGCCAAACCTAAAGTCACAGCGCAGCCTCCTGCCACTGCCCTGTGCCACGCCACCCCAGGTATCCAGATGTGCATTCCTCCCAAAGGGTGATACTACCAGGAGTTCAATCCAGCTGCTATTGTTACCACTTAAGTTAGGAGCAGATGGCAAGCGAGGGGTCAGGGAAGAAGGATTCCTCCCAAAAGATGGGGGAGCCTGGACTAGGAGCTTTTCCATAGCTTCTTACTCCATAAGAAGTGGGAAATGCCGGAGCCATGCCTTCTGGGAATCTTAAGAGTCACTGCTCAAGGAGCCAGGAATAGTTTACTAAGATGGAAAACAGGGACAGAGTCTTAGGCAGACATTTTATGTGGAGCTGTGGACAGCATGCACACGTCAGGTCCATTTACTTAAGATAACTGCCGTGTTTCCTTACCAGCGCCAAATGTGTGTGTGTGTAGATAATAGAGTGTGGAAATTAGTGTCTTTGAGTCTCTCGGGACTGTGGATAATGTGAAACTACTCTACCAACCTGCTTTCAAGCAGTGTCAGGCTCCTAGCAGGGCTCTTGGCTCAGACTCTTGGCAAGGGGGAAGAAAAACAGCCAGAAAGTAAAGTGTGGTGCTTCACTGTCAGTTTAACAGGACCTAGAGTCACCGAGGGGACAAATCTCAGGACATGTCTATGAGGGGGGTACCAGACTGGAGTAAACAGGA